ATTGTAATAAGGATCTTTTTATTAAAACAAAACAAAACTGCAAGAGCTCGGGGGCAGATCTGTGTTCTCTTTTGGCCTGTGTTAACCTCTAACCAGAATCTGGCCATTTGAAAAAAAATGTACTTCAGCTGTTTTTCTTTATTTTTGGAAGTTTAAAATGAAATATAAAGCCCRTAATAAAATGCATATGAGGACACAAATCAATAGACATGAGAACTGTGTTAAGAACTATGCAACCACAGAGGTCTTCATTAACAAGGGTGTTCTCCTCATGAAATTCAGAAAATGCTCTTATTCACTTGTATGCATGTCGTTGTTTGTGCCATTATTTATTTCTATGGCAACCCAAACAGTACAGACAGCAATATTAGACAACAGTAATCAAGAAAAAGAAACAACCTCATTGCAAAAGAAGACAAYTAAGAGCCAAAACAGAGGTGTTTAGATGATGGTGTAATTTGCTATAATAACTGTTTAACCACATATTTGGCAAGCCCTGGATAACTCACTCATGAGTAATGCATTTGTCCAAATTACATTCRAATAAAAAGTAGTTACTGTGCTGTATTATCGTGTGCTCTGCACAGATATTTCCTCCCTATCGATTTTCCCACGGCAAGAAGGCTCCTCACGGAGCCCAGGTTAGCTGGGGATCGCTGCTGATTGCTCTTGTGCAGCCTCTGCRAAGCTGGGTGGGTGCTCTGGAGCCACATCTCATCAGTGCTCRGTGTCTGGAGCTGTCTGAGTGCCTGCTGCAGCTCCCACTCTGCTCTCCCCTGGCTGTCCATCTGGAGGGGGCTTGGCTGCTCTCCTCCAGCCCAGCTCCCCGAGCGYACGGCAGCTGCAGCTGCCAGAACATCTGCTGTCTCCTGGCCTCGCCGGGGTGAGCACCAAAAGCACAGCCTTTTCAAAGCTGGACACTCGCCTCCATCTGAAACTGGGCGAGTTCAAAGTTCTTCTGTTCGTCCTGAGCCTTCCAGCTTCACAGGAACAGACAACTGTGTGCAAGGCACATTGCAGTGCACCTTTCAAAGGGAGCCAGTGCATTGTCTTTAGGATGCGCTGGCACTGTGCCTGCTCTTCCCCTGCATGTGGAGATTTAGGGTTAGAACAGTCTTGTTCTGAAGAAAGACTCGTGTTCAAGAAYAAGGAGTGGAAGGAATGCAAACCCAAACAAAATTAGTCCGTGACTGCATCCATCAAGGGTGGGCTCCTACAGCATCAGCACCTCCAGGCCATTCAAAAGCTGAAACAGTGTGCCCTGGGCTATTCCTGCTGAGGGTAGAGGCTGCCTCTCGTTTGAAAAGGTGAATTTGAAAGAGATATCTTACTTGGAAAGTTRTGAGTATGAAATAACATGGCTGTAATCTCACAGGAGGAAAATGTGCACWGCAGCCCCCATCCACTGCACTGTTCACATGTGGGTCAAGTCATGCCCTGGCGACGTGCAGAGCTCCCACTGACTTCATAATGGGAAATGTATTACTTGTTTAGAGCTGACTTGGCTTTATTTAGAATGATTTAATACTTTGGTTATTAAGTTTGGTGGCTTGGAGAAGCGATACCAACAGGTGACACTCGCCCTTCCTTGCCCCTGASAGGTTTCTGCACAGGGTGAGACCCAGTGCGTGTTGGTGGGTGAGGCTCTTCCAGAGCCAAATCCTGGGCCTTGAGCATGGTGAGAGCAACCTGGGATGCAGCAGGAGCTCAGCTCCATCAGCTCGTGCTGTCCTGGGGCTGCTGGGGCTCCCAAAATGGGTCTGAACTGATGTGGGCTTGAAATGCGAGCTGACACAGCCTCATTCCCTGAGCTCGTCCTTGTGCTTGCTCAAACCCTGAGCTGCTCTGGCTTGAGTCTGGAGTGACCAAACAGGCTCTCTGAGGAGGAAACCTCAGCCTCAATCCTTAACCAGGCTCTCTCAGAGCTGGAGGAGCTCCTGGCTCTATGAACTCAAACTTCATTTAGGTGAGATATTCCTGCACCCAGAGCTGCTCACCCTGGGGCACCCACAGACACAAACCTGCTGGTCCTGGCCATCCCCTGGGGACGCACAGACACAAACCTGCTGGTCCTGCCCACCCCTGGGGCATCCATAAACACAAACCTGGTGGTCCTGGCCATCCCCTGGGGCACCCACAGACACAAACCTGCTGGTCCTGGCCATCCCCTGGGGCACCCACAGACACAAACCTGCTGGTCCTGGCCATCCCCTGGGGCACCACAGACACAAACCTGCTGGTCCTGGCCATCCCTGGGGCATCCATAAACACAAACCTGCTGCTCCTGCCCACCCCTGGGGCACCCACAGACACAAACCTGCTGCTCCTGCCCATCCCTGGGGCACCCACAGACACAAACCTGCTGGTCCTGGCCATCCCCTGGGGACGCACAGACACAAACCTGCTGCTCCTGGCCATCCCCTGGGCACCCACAGCCCCTTTTTACAGAGGAAAGATCCCTCCTGAAAACCATCTAATGGAAAATGGGCCATAAGAGCATTTGATAGTTGGATCCTTAGTGAGATACTTTGGCAGATGCTGTCCCTGTCCCCACATGAGGAAGCAGGAGCTGACTTTAGAGCACAGAGTGATCAATCCTGAAAACAGAATCAGAAATGGTGTGTCTCCAGTGGGATGGGCAGCTCCTAACACCGACCCCAACTAGACACAGAACGAGCCACTCCAAATAATTGTGCAGGTCTGGAAAGGAGATTGAAGCTCCTGCTACTCAATTTATACTATTGCAGCTCAAAGCTAAGCAGGCAAAAGTGGAATACACAATAAATGCATATTTAGCTGTAGTTAAAACTGAAACTGAATATCCTAYGTTAGTGCATAGTTCTCTCTTACGAAGAAAACTAATTTATAGGTAAAGAAACAGCTTAAAACTAAGAGACTGTGTTTTTAAGTAAGCTGAGTAAAATGAATACTTACTTACCTTTTATTCTCCTGCTGTGTGTGCCCTGAGCTGGTCCAGGGAGTTCTATGAGGTAAGAAATTCCTGGTCAACAAAAGTTCCTTTTCTGAAAAAAGYGAACATAATGGAAATGGGGAACCACTTACCAGGCAGCTGAAAAAGGAGCTGACTGTGCAGAGAATTTCACACCTTATGGCTTTTGGTCAGTAAAGTACATAAACAAAATGTAATTTTCTATGCAATTACACAGGGTCACACAAGAATATTATGTTTTAGAAACCCACTCAAAAGCATATTGCTCTCTAAGAGCCCCATCCAGCAAATGGTTCCTCACTTTAGTGAAGTCACTCGTAAGCATTTCTGAGAGTGGGGCCTACGAGACATTTTCCTTTTTATGCTTTCTTAAACAGTTTATGTGATAGTAACAACAGGAAGATAAATTACTTTGAATGGTAGCAATTAGAGAAATAAGGAGTGTGATAGATTTACCATGTGGAAAACATCTCTCACACATTTTCCTACAGTCATTAAACCTGCTTTTAATGACACAACACTGATTTCAGAAAGAAACAAAGTTTATTTGATGAAAATAAACAAGCTGATCAACACTAAATACTTCCCATACACATGATAACAATGTTATGAACTCTAAATACCTTGGTACTTTACACTTCTACGAGACATTAAATTACAATGACTGTCTAATACATGCCCACTGGTAATTTCTAGGAATTCCTTAGTTTCATATCAATGTCCTTAACCATATATCAATATCACAATCCAGAACATGCCACTCACTTGAAAAAATTATTACAAGAAGCACTATCAAATGAGGATCTAAGGTAAATAGGGAATACTGACCCATTGCTGCAGAACATCACATTCAAACATCACCCTACGCACACAAAAGAAACATTGCGGATATAGTTTGTGTCAACACGTCTGAGGTCTTTTCATAAACACTGTTTAAAAAGTAAATTGAAACCCACTTTCAAATGAAAGTCAATGTGCAGGTACGTGCATACTGGATACACAAAATTCATTAAATACAAAATTCATACTGTWCATTTAAATGAAAGAAAGAATGTGCAGTGCAAGACTGATCTCACATGAAAATAATAACCATTATCTTAAATGTTAAGCAAAAGTTGGTTTGCTTCATTACACTAAGAGGGCGGGAAAAAAAAAAAATCTACCAAACATTGCTCAAATAAAATAGTTCCCAACATCACAGTGTTTATTGTAAACCCCGAGATTCTATTTTAGTATATGAAAAGATTTTCTCCAAACATCAGAGTACCACATGAAATGAAAAGAAAGGAAAAAAAAAAAGAAAGAAAGAAAGAAAAAAATCAATGTTAGACAAAATTTTCCTCTTTAAGGGCTGACTTTTAGGCCCTGATAAAAGTTTAGATCAATACTCATACCAACATGAGTGGRGCAAAAATGCCCCTAAAATAATATCTGTGACAAAATTGGCACATACATATAAATATCTAACTATACAGCTTTGTATCTGTGACCCTATTTCCCCCCTAGTTTATATCCTACTTCAAGTATTCGGTTGCAGAGTTAAGGTAAAGACCTGATTGTAAGAGACACAGATGATTGTCCCCTACTGCGACAACAAATTTGTCATGAGAAACCAGTTTTGTTGTCTGAGTTTCCAAGTGCAACATTTGTCATATGTGCTAAATATACTCCCAAAAGCTTTGCTGTTTCAAAAACAAAGATCTAAAATGCCATTGATAGTTAAAGGACAAACTTTTTAAACATGAATGAAATTGGGATTATYTAMGCTATGCTAATTCTATACATTTTAYTCTATTTACTGAGGACAGTAACATCTAGCAGGACTCCTGCTCAAATAAATTGCTCTTTGATTGCACCGAGAATTATGGTACAAATAAATAAAATATCATCTCTAGACAATAATTTTAAGGGGGTTACTATGTATGGCTCATGTAGGATGTTTAGGGTTAATTGCACCACAGGTTCAAAAATAATTTTTCTAAATTCAGTGCAAGACTTCAGGAGTATCCATTTAGACTTCTTTTTTTCTTCTTTTTTTTTTCTTTTTTTATTTTATTTTTATTTTACAGCAGCAAAGAAAAACTACTAAGGATTAAGGCCACCCATGCTTAAATTTATTGTTTGTCCTTTAAAAATGCAGATATTCTATTTCCACTGCCATCAGCATGGAAGCATTTCTTCCATGGACAAAAAGATGCCTCAACAAAACAGCCAAACATTTGCACATGTTTGCCAGATTGACTGAAAACGTTTGTGGAGTCAGAAGGAACCTCTCCTTGAGAAGTGGTAGAGATCTGACTGTCAGTTAAGAGTCTCTCACTGAATGTAACGACTTCACGTTTTTACTTTTCCTTGCATGTGCTTTAAATTTATTTTACTAGACACATTTTGTTGACACAAACAGCCTCCGAGTGCTGTTTTGTTCATTGGTATTTTCTTTAACATCTAAGATTCGTTGGGGTCCGTGTTGGAGACTGTTTTTCAATGTAGAGAACAATAACAAACAGTTCCACATTTACAGGAGACCTAGTGCATATRCTGTATTCACAGCAATCTTAGCTTTATTTTTGTTTTTGTTTGTTTGTTTTCTCAAGAGTCCCAGCTTTTATTGTTGAAAACATGTATGCATTTGGATGGTAAAAGGTTGATTCATCCTTGTGTACATGTCCATATATATACATACATATAAAAGCCTCAAGCTTTTACCATCCAGGAATAGATACATCTTGTATATAATCATATATTTATGTTCAAATTAGATGTCCTATGCATTGTCAGAGACACACACCATTATTTTCATAAAACTAATCTTTGTCATCAGTTATTAGTACCAAAAATTGATTTCATTTCCAACCTGGCCCAGAGCTTAATACCGGTTATAGTATCAATATTTGGTTTTGGTTTGTTTTTTAATTTAGATCATTCTATCAGTAGATAAAAGAAAACAGAGGAGGGTAAAGGCTTGTTTTTTATATTTTGGAAAAGCCCATATCTAACTGGGGGTAAAGTTAATGCCAACACCCTTATATAGCATTTTACTAATACCTCTTTGATAATCTAGTGCAATAGAAGTGATACTTTAGAAGAGACTAGGTAAAATCAGCAAATGCAGATACCACATCTAAGGGAATCTGAATTACTTATTAAAATCAATATTAATTTACCAAAAATTAGCTAAATAACCTGGTTTAACTGAACTTCATCAAACAATCATGTTCTGAACAGATGGTTTCTTTGTAAAAAACAGAATAACTCACAAGACCCATTAAAGACAGAAATCACGCTCTTAGAATTTCTGCTTGAGTCTCCTTCATTATTTTCCAAAGTATCTAATTTCACAATAGACTACAAGAAATAATGGAGAAAATGCCAATTAATGCAGCATTTCATTAGATATCAACCTCAGCATTCATTTTCTGCATCTGTGATCTTCTCCAGGATATCATGGTCATGTTTGGAGATCCARTGCAATAGATTATCATTGTTACCTTCCAGTGCTACAGTTTGTTCTTCCTTTTTCACTAGTTCCTCTGACAACTGTAACAAGGGAACAAAACATTCCAATTAACATGATTAAAGCATCCAGAACATCCTAGTTCTCATTTAATCAAGATTCTCATACATACGAGTGGAGATGCAGCTCTTCTAGGGGCTAAGGATTAATTAAGGCATTTAAATTCCATTTGAACCCACTTATGTTCATAGGGTGGCAATTAGTTTAATGTTGATTTGCATGACACGATTCCCCCTAAATGGGAAATACTTTAAATTACTGAGATATCGATTTCTCTTGTGCTTGTAATTCTGTAAACTGAGTTTTCTGACCTTGCCTATAAGCACAGTAGCTTTGAAAGGGAAATCCTATTAATAAAACTAAATATTTTTCTGTGGGAACCGGGGAATCATCCACTCAGTTCCATGGCAAGTACCTGTACCAGCTTTCCAAAATTGAAGCACCACTTCCATGTAAAGTTTTAAGCACTTCCAGTTCACTTTAATTTGCAAAATGGTGGAGAAAGGTTTTATGGCTGCAAGAAGCTCAGATTTGCAGAAGTTAAAATACAGAGCAAGGTGTTGGGAGGTTTTTAGCCACACACCCACTAATCACAGGTGGTTGGTTGCTCTCCCTGGCTGGCAYTGCTGAAACCCAGGACACTGTGAGAGGRAACAGGGAATCTYCCTGCYTTCCACCGATTTTGGATGAGACCCTGTCTGATTGTGCTTACAGAGTGAGGTCTCAATGATTTTTATTGTTACTTCAGTTGTGCTGCAAGCAAACAGCACAGTATTCTTGAACAGTGAATTGGTMTTATTCACATTATCTGTATATCAGATGAGTGGGAGGAATTAAGGGATTCCTTTACAGGGCAGTTGTTCGTTTATCCACTGATTTTGTTTCTAGAAAATTTGAAATGCATTATGTATGGGRTTCTCCATTATTGCCCTTCCATTTATGTAACCTTAAAACTTTCCAAAMCATCCCATTTTATGAAAAAGAATTTGCCATACAGTGCTTAAACTTTTGTTTACAGCTCAAAACTTCTTATGCTTTTTAAATAAAACTACTTGGCTAAAATTCCTCTTTCAGAATTTTAGAATCTAATATTTATTAGAGAAATTATTCTGTGAGTATAGTGAAACACTGTTCACAGAATAAACTCACCAATTATTTTAAATCCATGTTTTCAAGCTCACATCTTGGTAGGAAGCACAYGTAACAGTTTATATCATACAGACTTAGATGAACAGTTCTACTTTTGCAGTGAGAGGTTGGTAGAGTTCTGCTGGTTAAAACACTTAGGGATTAATCCACAGCCCACTRAAATGTGGAAAGGTTCCCACCGATTTTAACAGGTTTTGGATCTGGCCCTTGAACRGTCTAAAAATGACTTCTGCAGAGCTGGAAAGCCAGGGAGTTCCTAAAGTAGATCATGTTACTAGTTCTGGCACATAAAATCGCTGCAGACTTTTTATGAAAACTGTAAGTCAGCGCACGCRTTTCGCTGGGWGAGCTGTGCATAGCTCCCATTCTTSTGTGCCCCACAATTTCTGAATCGTCATTCAAAGAGATACTCGGGCACGGGGAGCACACCTACAAATTAACGAGGACAGCACATTCCAGAAATGCAGCACAATAATACCCCCGTTTTTTTTTAAACTAAAACGTAATCACAGCAAATCTTCATGTAGCTGCTATTTTACAAGCTGAAGTTCCTTTGCAATTAACACTCTTTTATGCTTGGAAAAAAGTGAGAACCCAGAGTAAAGTGTCCAATCTGAGCAACAGCAGCAAAGCACAAAATGCACTCCCTCTCCAGCCTGYTCCTCAAATTTTCATTGGGGTTTACTGCAGAATGAAATCCCCCGAATAAACCTCACCAACTTAATCAACCCACCCATTCATCAGGAAACCATATATGTATTGGAAGTGTAACAAAAACTTGTTCACCACAGGTAGGAAATGCAAAGTATTTCTCAAGTAAGTCAAATAAATATATGAAAGGATATTGCTGTCAAATACCAGCTGAGGTTGAGTAAATTAAATTTGTATTTGTTTCTTCAATGCTGTACTTGGTACAAGTCACTGAACCTCTAAAACAGAAATAAAGTTTGGTAACGTACATTGGGCCTGAATTCAGCTGAAATAAATGTCCTATGAGCTTGGCACCTCTGTCAGTCCTTTAGATACCAGTCAATGAAAACAACAGAAGGATGTGAATATATAAAAGTGTAGTAGCCCACAAATACTTGTTCAGATTGTTTTTGCTTTGGATAAAGACACCTGCCTGATTAGTACTTTTTACCTCCAATCCTTTCCTCTCAGCAGTGATTTGCAGAAACAAGCTGGAGAGGGTGGGTAAACACAAAGGGGTTAAAGGGGAAACTGTTTAATAACAGTAGTAAAATGCAGGCTATTTTTGACATCTGGGTTAATGTCCATTATGCTCCATATGCTTTCCAAATGTTTGCAACAAGCACCCAGATACAAAAACAGATACCCATTCACGTAGGCTTAAATTGCCCTGTGCTAACCTGTTACACATGGTACCTACATAAAAGGSCAGCAACTGATATGGTAATTAGCGAGTCAGAAAGAGAGGGAATGGACACTTTATGGCAGGGAATTGGTATCTGACCCAATGTTAGTAGAGAAGGATATCGTTAATGAAAACCTGGTAAGGCTATTTCTGCTCCCTGAGCTGTGACAAGGCCTCTGTGCCAGAATGTGACATCCTTTAAAAAGCTGTCAGGAGGAATTCCTCAGTTTCCTTCTCCAGACTCATTCATCATTACTGCGATCAGAGCACCAACAAATGATGGGAAGTTATTTCATTTTCTGGAAATAAGTAACTAGACTGAAAWAAGGCTATAACTCATAAAGACTTTCTCAAGTGATGTCCTGGGATTTGCYTGTGCCTCTAACAACATAATGTAAATTATATGAAGGGAAAAAAATGCATTCTCATTTTTTACCTTTTTCTGTGCAAAACCATGAAAAGAATGACTCCATTAACTAAGACAAAGCCGTGACATGGACCACTCTAAATTCTGTTCCTGCCACCAGCTTATTGTGGGACTAAGGAAAAAGTCAGATCATTTTGCTGTGCCTAACTTACTCTTTGCCACAGCAGGAATAACATCAGGCTCCTCACAGGAATTTGCAAGGCTTAATGTTTGTAATGTTCCTTAAGAGTCTTGGATGAGTGCTAAGTATTATTATTTTTCAGTTCCTGCATTTGATTAAAACTGAAATAACATAGTAAAAATTAAATTAATATATTAAATTTCAAGTAAAGAGCAAGCATGTGGTTTGCAGAGCTACTTGTAACACTTTTAATACCAACACACATTACAGAGTAGGTGATTCCCCAGGTCTGTACTGACATGTACCATGTGGGCACAACTTCACAACTGAAAGCCCCCCAGAAGTTTGATTCAGCCAAAAATCTGTTCGTGGCTTCTGTGTGAGCCCAGAGCTGGGGCCAGAGGGAGCMCTGTGGGCTGCTTTCCCTGCCCCTGGAGTACAAACACGATCAGATATTTGCCCAGATATTTGCAGAACAGGGTACGCAGATCTGCCGCAGCGCTCGGCGCTGTCGCTCCCTCAGCACAGGATGTGACAGTGGCATSATACCACTCTTTGAACCTCCCTGTCATTACAGCCCCAACTATAAATACCACTCTTGCTACTTCCTTCTGGCCTAACTCWGGAGGGAAGAATGAAAACCCACCTCTCACTTTCTAAAGAATCCAGTAACCTGTTAAAGCCTGTTGTATCGACGTGAAAATCTCYAGTGAGGAGGGCCAAGAAGAAAAATAATTAGGAACTAAATTTGTACCCAACCTACGTAGAAAATTTTCAATGCTGAGATGCCAAAGACACCTAAGACACTTGTTGAGCAGAGTGAAAAGGTAAAATCTAGTTTAAATTTATAGCATTCCTTCAGTGTCCCTCTAGGAGTTTGGCTTTTTGCCAGTGTTCCTTGTTAAAAATTTGTTAAACGTGTTTGGCATTAATGCAAACACAAAGTGCTCATTTGTTACAAATTCTATTGGAATGCATTCATTTAAGGCAATGAAGTAGTTACCAGAAAAGAAAAAATGTTCATTAAGTACATTTTAAAAATACAATGATGTATGCGGTGCATAACTATGGCGCCCCAGTGGCTATATAAATATCTGACAGAATAACCACAAGTTGTGTTTGGTTTGAAATTGGAATCTCTTAAACATAACCGATAGAACAAAAACTGGTTTTGTTTGTTGTCAAAACTGATGTTAGTCTTTCTTGTTTAGATCTAGTTATAATAACCAAAGTTTTGCCATACGGGTTTTTTACATCTCAAATCAATAAAGCCCACGGGTTAAATAATGCCCAAGGAAGTTTCTTCACTCGAAAGGTAAGTGCAGCACTGCACATTATCTGGAGAACACTGGACACAGAAAGTAAACACCCTGCTTGGAGGAGAACAAATTTTAGTCATTCTTAAAAACTCCACTTAAGGAAATGTTACCTGGGAGATCTGCAACTGTCTGGCAACATTCAGGTTCACCTTGGCATAAGGTGTCCTGCTGTAGTCCTTGCAGAAAAGAAAGCACTCAGACCTAGTTTAAAAAATCCCAATAACAAATCCCTCTTTTGTAATAATGTGAAATATCCCTGGTAATGATAAMTCTTGATTTTGGATTAGCAGCTCTGAGGTCTCTTTCTTAGATGTTAGGAAATTTCTATCAATGTATCTTAGCTACAYTGTAAAACCAAAACCATTTTCTTTTTCCAATGGTTTATAACTACTTATAAAAAAGTTTAAAAATTATAAATGCATGAGTAAAACATATTCAAAAGAAAGATCCAGAAAATGTGTGATTTAATTAAATATTGAGAGGTTCACAAAAAACCACCAGCATAAAAAGTTATTTATAAAGACAGAATTAACTTTGCTCCAATTCTGGCAAAGAAATTATTTATCCCATTTGTTGCTATTTATGTTTTAAATTCATTACACAGTAAACTTCAGAAGGATCTGCAGCTGGTG